TTTTAAAAGGAATCCTTTCCCAGTAATTTACAAGCTTAACTGTAAAAAAGTACTCTGTTCTGAAACTTTATGTCAAAGGCTACATCTTGAATATTAATACAATTACAGGATTGTAATAAGAAATTAATTTATGGTTTCTGTATGGTTTATAAACTACCTTTTTGTGCTCCTATTAATGTGTTCATGTTTGTTTTTCAAATTGGTCTGGTAAATTTCACTTTCCAAGTAAGCCATTTCATGGCAAAGTGAAGCTTTCCAGACTAGCAAATTTCACTTTGAAGTCTGCTGTGCAGCCAGCCCAACAAGATTAACACCACAGGCACAAGAGGAGTGTCAGTAAACAAGAGAGAGAGGACAGAAGAGACAAGGAAGAGTGAAGGGTGATGGAAGAATAAACAGGCAACAGATGGGTAAGAGGGGAAAAGTAAAGGAGGAAGAACAACCAACAAGAGAGAAAAAAGAGGCAATAGACCAGAACAGGGTGCAGTCATCTCCACCAATCCTGGAAGCAATATGCAAGTGCTTGACAACGTCACTTCACGTCTCATTTAGTGTTGTTTATTCTACCTGAAATACATGGCCAATAGGCACTGCTTTCATCTCTGATCCAAGTCTCTCCTAAAAATCTCATTTCTTAAGCAGTAAAAAGTTAATCAAGACTCCAGTACCTTCTTATATCGGTAAGCTGGTAGGCACAACCACAACACTGTAAAAATAATCTCTACCACGGCTCTTCTTCTCAATTTGCTTGCCATGAGTAGCAAGTAGATCAAAATAGTGAGGGAGAAGAGTGTATTGGCAATAAACAGCTCTTCTACACTACTAGCAAGTTCAGGGATGTGAAAGAGGAAAGACATGTGCAGGACTGGAGGAGGGGAAGCAAAGCAGGTGACAAAGTATAAATCTCCTTCAAACCAGTGACTGAGACTGTGCAATTCTATTTTTTGTGGGGTTTAATTCAAATCCTAATTTAAAAAATAGTTTGAACATATATTACTTACTGCAGTGTTTAGAAAACCACATAATGAAAATTATGTCTAAAATGTGTTTTAATTTGGGGGGGGGAGGGGTAAGGAGGTGTTTATATTTAAACTTGGCATTCCTGAGTCTTCTACTGGTTGCAGCCATCTTACTGAAAAGTGATCTGACACGCTGGCTTGACTAAGTCTGTATGAAATGCATCTGGAAATATGTTTGTCTTTCATCATGAGAATCTATACAGATAATTGTAATGAAATAATCCTAACTTCAAATGTCAACTAATAGGATCAACTCAAGAGGTCTAGATTCCAAATTTTACACACCTTCAGATATAATGTGATAACATATCATCTGCTTCCCCCAATTCTACCTAGCAATTCTTTCTAAAAAGAAAGAACTGCAGCACTGCATAATCTGACAAGCAGTCACACTAACCAGTGAGACACGCCTTAGAAGGTGTATGTCAGGAGCAAAGCAGGGATAAAGCACTTTTCTGTGCCTGAAGGCAGGTGATGTAGGAATAAGGAGATATAAATGGAGCCTTCCTATACCTGGCACAACACAAATTCTCACAGATGACAAAGAAATATACCACACACTCTAAGAATGAACAACTATTGGTGAAAGTAAAATGGCTGAAACCAAAGTATCTGCTTTGACCAACTAGTTAAAGTCTACAGTACTAGTAAATAGGATCACCATAACATGTAACTGCAAGAAGATGCCTTCATTTGGGAGGATGTCACCATGTAGATTTGCAATAAAATCTAGGTGCATACTATTAATAGTACAAAAATGGGTAAAAGTTCTTTGAAAGCATGTAACTGTGTCCAAGTAGTTGTCCCACAGTATAATGAAAAGAAGCCTTAGGTTCTTTATAGTAATGACATGGTGCTTTACTGATTCTGAAGTCATTCCCCCTCTCACTACTTGGAGTTTGGAGATATTGGGCTGAGTTATCACATTACATTCCACAGCTAAAACTTTTCACAGACTTGAAACATTTTGTTTTTCATGCTGCCTGTAAAGCACACTGCAGAGAAAGGTACAACATGTGAGCTTGGCACCAGAAAGCCTCTCCGACATCCTCTGCCATATACAAGGCTGATACCAGTTTACAATTTAACGAGCAGGAATTTCATTTCTATGAGAAACCTTAAAATACAGGGAATGAGATAGGAGAAATTTAAGACCAAAAAAGGTTAAGGAGGCTAATGGTCTGATCAAGACAGCTACAATTGTGAGAATTGTCTTAAGGAGAGGTAGTGGCTGCCATATCAGGCAATATACACCAATTATTAGTACACTAATGAATGGAACTCTGGGAAAGGAACCTTTTGGGCACTGCAGCTAAACACAGAAATATATGTGTAGACCTTTCTTTATCACTGTAAAACCTTGATTTTTACTGCATGGAAAACATTTGGGAGAAAGTTAACAGGTGTTTTCCACTATTTTATTTATAAATCAGACACTATATATAATTGTAAAAGCTGTTTTGGTATCATATAACGCCATGGTTCAGCTGATCACGTAGAAATAACAACGCATGGTTATTTATGTAATGCCACCTGCTTTATATAAAGAAACATTTAATTAAAAAAGAAAAGAAAACTTTAAAAAAATTGAAAATGCAAAACTGAAAATTCATTCCAGCCTAGTAAAGATACAGATTCTGAAGGGTATCTGTGGCAGGTCCACAGAATACAGACCATTTTTTATTAATATTAGAACAGTTTCTACAGTAACAAAACAGAAAAAAAAATTTGGAGTGCTCTAAAACAGACAAAACTGTGCAGCATCACATTACAATCATACAAGACGCACCAAGGCGTTATATAATAGCAAAATCACACTTAAAATTTTGAGGGGGGAGTTAAAACTGGGAGTACTCTGCTTATCTAGGGTGTTTTGGGGCCTGGCACTGTCTCTTTTTTCATCTGGATATGAAACTACAAATTTTGACCACACACTAAGAATTGGTTGTAAAGTAACAAGTTCAGCATTTTTCAACATATTTTAGCCCCACAGATTACTTCAGAATCAGATGTATATGGCCTCTTAATAGTTATGACCTCCAAAGCAATTATGCTCTTTCCTTCCTACAAAGTGTATTAAATATTCCAGCCTTGCAAAACTGTCATGAAAATTTACCAACCCAGGCACTATATCTATTTGCCCTCTCTTACCAAGATGATGAAAATGACAATAACGAAAAAGCTAAGTTTACTCGCCTTTTACTCCAAACAAGCAGAGTTTCACATGGCTGAAATATTCATTTTAACATTGTGTGGGTGCGGAAGTACTGCCAACAGACATTTTCTGTAGTATCTTTGGGGTGGGACCATAGTGTTCCCCTTACCCCCATTCAGAACTGCTCATTACTTTCTTCAAACGAACAAAGCAAGTCTGAACAAAAAAAGGGATCAGCAGAGTAACCAGTTTTAATATACCCCTATTTATCATATACCCTTTCATTTCTTTATTTCTTCAAATAATGTAAATTGGCTCTATTTCCATAGGGATTTTTAATTAAACCTCATCTATTCTCCCATAAACATAAAAATTATTAGTGGATAAAATTAGGATCCTTAGCACAGCCAATTCTATTCTAACAGCAATTTCTTAAGGAATAAGCAACTGAGATAGCACTTCATACATTTCTTACTCTGTTGCTGTGGCTTTGCATTTTTAAGTCATGTAACTAAAAGGGTATATAACAAACACATGCGTGTGCACACACACACACAAACATCTCTACTCTTCATTGTTTTTGTAAGGCGATACATTTACTTCACTTCCTCAAAACCCACTGCCCACCTAAAAATGGTAAGCATCACAGACAGGCGAGCATGAACTAGGGAAGATCCCAATACTACAATTGGTGAGAAAAAATACATTTTTTTTTAAAAATCAAGGTTTAAAGCAGTAGATACAATGAGCTGTATTAAGCTATCTGTGGCTAACATAATGGCACAAAGCAGTTTGATCTAGATATTTTAACACTTGGCTGAATTTTCTAGTCCCAACCCAGCTCTGTAAACACTAGTAAATTTTGCTTGTTGTAGAAGATAGCTGTTAGTGACTGGGAGAGTTTTCCTAGCATAGTCAGGGTCTCAGGGAAAAGATGTATCATTTTAAAAGTTGGGAGGTTTTGGAGGAGCACTGCTTCATCCAGAAGCACTGCATGTTGTTGAATTGGGCAGCGCTCAAATAGTGATGGGATGTTAATCCACATTAGTACAGTTTCTGTACTGCCCTAAAATCTAAGGCTATGTCTATACTATGGACCTTACAGCAGTACAGCTGTACCGCTACAGCTGTGCAGCTGTAAGGTCTCCTGGGTAACCGCTCTTTGCCAGCAAGAGAGAGCTATGTTGGCAGGAGAGCCTCTCTTGACAACAAAAAGTGCTGTCCACACCAGCACTTTTGCTGGTGAAATTTATATCAGTCAGCAGAGTGTTTTTTTCACATCCCTCATTACCAAAATTTTACTAACAAAAGTGGTAGTGTAGACAAAGCCCAAGTCTTGGACTTAGAATTAGTCTCAAGTAAAGATTCCAGCTTACAGATTAGAAATAACTGAACCTTAGCAGCACAAATATACCTTCAATGTCAGAGACATAAAAAACAGTGTCTTGTTTTACATACATAATATATACATGTTTATTTTCAGTGAAAAAAATATGAAACACAAGGAAACATTTTAATCAGTGATGTTTCAAAAATATGAAATGTATATTATTAGCTGCTTATAAATCTTTAAAGCTGACATGTCCACTCTGATCACACTGTTTCCCAACAGACTCTGCATTCATTAAGTTTATCACATATTGCAGGGGAGGGGAGAAGAAAATTGTAAGTGTATTTTATTTATCAACACCTTACCAAGTGAATTTAGAATTGTCAACAAAGTGCCCTCAAAGAAGCTCTATTAATAACCAAACAAGTCAGGGAGTTTTGGAAACAATGGGAAATGGGTCACTAACCATGTTAGCTGAAAAGATAAAATGCACAGATAAGGCATAAACTCAAAAGGATTTTATTTGTTCTGTGAAAGGATAAAGTGCACCCCTGATTAGGGGAAGGGAGGAGAAGCCACTGTTTAACTGATACAAGGATTTAACAACAGTTTGTACCCATCACTGAACAGGTAAAGATTTCAACCCAGCCATTTTTAATACCTCCAACATATGTCTTTCATCAATATATTAAAAGACAGTATATTCTCTCTTTATGTCACAGTCCTGTGTTTATACATAGTATATATTGCATATAATGTATAAATCAGGTATCAAAATTAGGATAATAAAAATACTTCAAAAATTATAACAAAGATTTTAAATATAATTGAAATCACATCTGTTTCCACAGAACCATTTATATATTAAGGTTTATATTAAGTGCCTGCCATGTTTTCAAAATTATACTTCCAGATCCTGAGGCACTGGGAGGATCATGATGAAAGGGGCAGTGACTGGATAGTAAGAACAAGAGAAAGTTTAAGATAAGTTAAAAGGAGACTATAAAATGTAAGTGCAATAAGCTTTCCTCTCCTCTCCCTATGTTTTCTTTTGGGGAGGTAGGGGAAAGGAGAACCAGGTTAGCTGCAAACTGAAGGTCCATTGATTAATTGCTGCTTAATGGTAGATCTGTCTATGTTGAACTAATTACCAGTGTGCAACCCTTCAGGGTAAAACAGACATGACAGATTAAAAAGAGAGTAACACTAAGATGATTTCAACCCTGTCTCTCTGACATTTTGGACAATTAAGGTTCCTGGGGTGATGGTGTGTGTAACAGAGAAAGTCCATGCAATGAGGAAAATTGATTTTCTAGATCTCACATACTGTAGCTTAGGTCAGAATTAATTCCTTTCATAGCAGTGAAAAGCTATGAAAAAATCTCAGCATGTTCTGAGGAGCTGGGCTGACTTTATAAGCACAACTGGAATTTATGGCTCTCCCTTCAGGCTGACAGCAGAAATTTCCCAACACTATTTGCAGAAAGGACAAAACATGGGACTTCTTTCTGACAAAGGCCTCCATGATTCCTGGCACCAAGGTTTTAGCATGAAAAGGGGATTTAAAACTGAAGTTTCTGGGTGTATCAGAAAGAGGACACAGTCATTTGCCACACTGCTTTGGGAGCCCCTGATGACAATCAACTCTGCCTTGAGAAATGGAAGCTAGTTCCTAAAAATGGCAGACACCCTTCCAAAAACTAAGCTCCATATGGCAAGTAAGGGCTACACATTTTGCAACTAGTATGACACTTTTCAGCTTCTCAGGAGTAAGTCCAATTACAGAAATTACAGGAGTAGTAGCAAATTCTTTTAAAATGCATTTGTCATATTTAGATAGTTTTCAATTAATTTTAATTGCTAATAAGAGTGCCAGACTGACAGGTCTGGAGACTGAAATTCTGTTTTTATAACAGGTAAATTACAGGTAGGGGCAGTACAAGTTGCACATAAACGCTGCCCTCAAATGTATCTTGCCCATGACTAAGGAAGAGAGAGACCATATAGAATCACAGGACTGGAAGGGACCTTGAGAGGTCATCTAGTTCAGTCCCCTGCACTCATAGCAGGACTAAGTATTATCTCCAGGGGTTCTCAAAACAAATTTTTGGGTGGCCTCAGAGGGCGGCCACCAACTCTTGCTGGTGGCTGCTATGACAATTTTTCTTAAAATACTGAATTAACTTTAGGAAAAACAAATAAATATGCACATATACATGTCCAAATCATTGTAATTTATTTATGTAGGGTTTTTTGCAGACTCAATAATAAAAATAATGTACAGTTGTCCCTATTCTTTACTGGGCCTAAAGAGACTAGAAAAACAAATAAGGTGCTTTGCATGTTTTGCTTTTTTTGTTTGATTTTTTTTTTTAAAGACTTGCTAGCTAGTAAGTCTGCTATTGTGAAAAGTGATATTTGTATATTTGTTAATATCACTTTGCACAGCAGACTTACTCATCCTTGGCAAGCTGGAGGACAAATTAAAACCTGGATGGGGAGGTGAGTAAGGAGGCAGGAGGGCCAGGGCAATGGGGGACTGGATGGGAGCATGGAGGAGGCAGCAGGCATCAGGGTGATGGGGGTGAGTCCGGGGCTGGAGTCTAGGGTACTACTGCACGGGTGGGGCCTGGAGGCATCAGGGGCCAGTGGTGACATGAAGGAGTGAGCCCGGGGCCAGAGCCTGAAGCCGTGTGGCTGGGGGACAGAGCCTGGTGCCCACCACCCCAGGCTGAAGCCAAAGCCCAAGCCTCACCGCCCCCAGGAAGGTGGGGAACTAATATTGATTGCCTGCTCCTACAGTGTCTGTGGCTCCAGAAGGAGGCAGGGGGTGACCCCGGGGTAGGAGCCGCTGCTCTGCCCCCCCAATCACCACCCAGGCAGCTGTGGCCGCAAGAAAAAATCCTGGTGGCCCATGAGGCCACATTTGAGAAATGCTGATCTAGAACATTCCGGACAGGTGTTTGTCTAACCTGCTCTTAAGGATCTCCAGCTATGGAGATTCCACAGCCTTCTGAGGCAATTTATCCCAGTGTTTAACCACCCTGACAGTTAGGACGTTTTTCCTAATGTCCAACCTAAACCTCCCTTGCTGCAATTTAAGCTCATTGCTTCTTGTCCTAGCCTCAGAGGTTAAGAAAAACAATTTTTCTCCCTCCTCCTTGTAAAAACCTTTTATGTACTTAAACTTATCTCCCCTCTGTTTTCTCTTTTGCGGACTAAACAGAGGGGGAATAGGTAAGTTCAGTTTTCATGTCCTTTTTCTTCATCTCTCTGCTGACACTGCTAATAAGGAGGCCAATTAGCATAAATGTTGATATATGTGTCTGCATCACAGAAGCTATCATAAAGAACTGGACTGAAACTAAATAGCTCTCATATAATAAATAATTTTGCTTATTCCTGACCATGGTCATATCTGAATTTTCAACAGAAATAAAATGCTCTATATATCCTATTACATATCATGAGCCATCATCCTGCTCCCCTACCTCAGCTTTATTGAACTTAAAACAGAACTTTGGTGGTACCCATTTAATTTCTAATGGCACAGAGGGCTGTTTCAGCTAAGAAAGGTTTGAAATAAATTAAAATTTATACCAATTTTTAGCAATAACCCACTTTCAAAGAAGGCACATACTCCTGTTCCAACCAGAAACAGCTTTTTTCCACTTCTGAAATTTTTCCCCACACAGGAAAAGAAAAATCTAGTCATACTGCAAATCAACAGTTTCAAACTAGCAGGAGTCAAATTAATGCTGACAATATGGCACACGTAGTTAATGACAAAAAATCCCAAACTGAATTTCAGAAATTGGCCAATTAAAAGCTACTAAAAAATCTTCCCCACAGAAGTGGTTGCAATAGAAGTCCAATTAAAATTTATATTATATATAATCACCAACTAGCCTTGTCCCAAAGACTGAAACCATTAGCCTTGCAGTATGCCTTTACAGTAAGTCACACAAAACGCAGTAAGACCAGAACAGGGCATGTGGGTAAGTATGACCACAATAAGCAGCAAAGGGTACAAAGAGGAAGATTTTTTTTTTTTCTATCAACAGCACTGTTTCTGTTGGATATTGTTCAAGTTGAAAGTAAACAGTTGTTCTCTTTAACTATAGATAAGTCACAGCACAGAACTACCTAAGATTATAAGGATGAGAAAGTTTCTTTTCTTTTTCTATATAAAAGGTAGTCTGGAAAGTGCTATGCATTTATTTTCATTATGTGTAAACCTGGACAAAGCGCTTTTTAGAAGAAGCGATTCAACTTGCTAGTCCAGCAGAACCATGATTTTTTTTTTTAAATGAATCCCTAATTTAGGACCTTAATTTACTCAAATTCTTTAGCATTCCTATGCCTTGGAGTAGGATATTGCATGGCTCCCCTATATTATGAGAATTTAGGTTGTCTCTCCATTTTCTAGATATTAGAAACAGTTGTTCTCCTTCACACCCCAGCTTGATTTGCTTCATCCTACAGTAAAATGATAATACGGGGTCTACTGTGTTTCTACAGGAGTCACTAATGCAGTGGTTCTCAACCTGTGGCCCAATCAGTACCATGAAAAATATTTTCTCTTAGCTTTCATTTATCATAATCTTAAGTATTACATGTTACAATAGGTAAAAAAAAAAAAATTCAAATACGATCTTTACTTTGCCAGTGTCCTTTTAAGAAAATTCATGGAAAAGGGCAACGAGAGGTACTAAAATCATTGGGCTAAATTCACTAGGATGGCTCATTTAAAATTAACTCCTCCTACTCCTTTCAATTCCTACTGTTCTTCACTGCTGAAGCAGCATTTAGAACTTATTTCTAACACATTCACTGACAGGTGCTAAATTTGTAGCCTGTAAGAAATCCCTTTTTTGTGAAATGTGATGATAGGATCAACTTGCCGCAATCAGGCAGTGACTAATATACTAAGTCCATAGGGCGAACTAAGTAATTTCTAAGATGGGTTGGGAGAGAACAAGACTTCCTGACACACTTCCTCTTGGTGAAGGAATCTGATGGAAGATTACACTGCACTGATACATGTATATTAACAATTTTATCTTAATTTGCATATGCCGACTAAATGGTACATTCAGTTCTGGAAAGGGGAAAAAACAGACTCAAATGTTCATGACTCCTGCCAAGTGCCAAGGCCAGGAATAATGTGAAATGTGATGGAAATCCAGTACAGGAGAGATATACAAATATTTAAGACACGCGCACACATGCAAACAAACAGCATGTCAGCTGTACCTATTTGCCTTTCATGGGGCCATTCTATTTCCTTTGCAGTTGCTATAATAATATTTTTCCCATGTACCAGTAGCAGGCTATGCATTTTGATATCAGTTATCATGAAGTGACTTTGGGGACCAGAATGTTTAAGAACTTTTCCCTTACCTAGCACTATGAAAGGGGAAGGAGGAGACTTGCAAAAGTGCAAAATAAGAAATAAACCCCAAACTCTCCAGATCAGTACAAGTATATGACAGTCAATTTAGAAGTATGCTAAAACCAGCACAATCCCAGTTCTTGTCCTAATAAGGATGAAGTCAATTTGGACAGAAAGAGAGAAGGTGATCAAATAATTGCTTGGGTGATAGTGTATGTATAAATACCTGCAGTGTATTTGTGCCTACTCCTCTGAATTATCAGTATTCTCCTCTTTGTAAAAGGCTACATCATAGCCAGCAGGCACATGATGGTATAACAACAAACACACACTCTCCGTAAGTGTAAGATATAAAGCAACACTTACTGAAGATGGCATTATTTAAAGGCTCTGCTTGACCAACTATAGTCCCAGCTGCTGTAAAAGGTCATGCAGACTCCAAGCCTCGCTCTTTCAAAATTTCTGTTCACAGCTCACTTCAGGGGGCACAGGCAGGACACTTCTTGCTGAACTAAGCAGTAAGAAATTTCCTTAATGCCCCAAGTGCAAAAAAAATTCAATCAACAGGAGAACATTTCCTTTTTCTACCTTAGCAATGAATCTCAATTGATTCCTTTTATAGATGTGTCAAGTCATTGGTTCTTGTTTTATCACACGGCTTATAAACACAGGTTCACTATAGCATCCTTGAAGAGCACTGGTAGTCACACTGGTTATGTCCTTGGGAAGAAGCACCTTGGAAGAGCTGTGTTTCAACATCATGTGACTTTTAGAACTCAGAGCCATGTGTCCCCCAGAGATTAAAGTCACATTATTGCTAGGTGTCACATGGTTGCTGGCAGGTACAATAGATTTCTTAGGAAGTAATGACATTTTGTTTTGTTCTAAAATGACATGTTTTATGGAAGAAGTGGAAGCATCAGATACTGGTTCTTTTACCACTTCATTTGGAATAGTGTTATAGAGATAATTGGGAGTGTTACTCTCCATTATATCCGACCAGGCCCTGTAGCGAATTTCTGCAGCTCCCCAGTAATGTCTAATAGCAGACTCAGAGCGATGGCCTGTCACTGCCATGATCTCTCTGGGCCCCAATCCTGCTTCACATAGTAATTGGATGGTGGTAGTTCTGAGAGAGTGATTGGTATATCGTTGGGACAGCCTGGCTGCCACACTTATCCTGGGCATCATTGTACCCAAGTAGTTCACTCCCATAGGTTCCCGTTTGTACCAGACAGGCTGCTCTCGCATCTGCTCTGTCGTTAGTTTTAACGGATGCAAGTAAAACGCAGGGGGTTCAGGTGGCAACTTAGACAAATAAAGCTCCAAGGAAAAAACAGGACAGTTTGGGTCTCCTGGCATATCGTACATTTTACCCATTTTATGGGGGTCTTCTGCATTTCTCCCTTTGCCAGGATATCTAAACATAGCATAACGTCGCCCATTCTTGTCCTTCTCAACAACAAAGGCATCTGGAGCCAAGTCTCTTAAGATTTCCCTCCCTCGTTTGGAAAAATGCAATTGCAAATCAAACCACACCTTGTTGACCAGTGCCAGAGGACTATGTAACCCCAGCACCCCAGACAGCTTAATCTTACGTAAGTCTTCAGCTGCTATGGGAGGGTGGTGGTGAGTTTCATCCTTCCCCTGCATGCGCAGCATCTTCAACACACTCACAAACACCATGTTAGCACTGGAAAACTCTTTGTCCTTCATTAGGCAAATCTGACGATTATAGGGTAGCATTTTGAGATGCCGGTTCAAGCCAGCACGCATGGACTTATAACTTGCCACACTGTAGGTATTTCCATCATGGTTCCTTATTGTGTAATAAAACTCTCTTAAAATATCATTGAGTTCAGTTACTGGCACCAATTCAAAGCTAGGATCCTTGCCATTTTTAGCCAGCCACTGCTTTAGTAGATTAGCAGCCCAGCCAGTCTGCTTGTGGGTGTTTTTGATGCTCTTAGCATCCTCTTCCTCCTCCTCCAAGCCAAACAGGACATCCTCAGGGAAGTTAAAATTCGTCTGTGTTGCTTCTACTGGCTCTTTACTGTCTGATGAAGTCTCTTCCTGTTTCAACTGGTTTTCGAAACAATTGATCAAAGTTGTACCATCAAATATGCCACAGGTATACGGCACACTGCAAACTACTTTTTGTTCTGAGAGCTGTGAAGTGCGGAGTAATACATAATATTTTGGATTTTACATAACAAAAAGCAGGTGGCATTAACTGGATTTTTTCAAAATGACATGGCATGTCTTAAGATCATACCTCTCTAGCCAAATTTTTAAAAATTTTTAGATCATTAGTAACCATGGCATTACACATGCTTTAATTCATTTCACTGAAAGCAGCCCTTGAAACATATAATGTAACAAAAAGCTGAAAACCGGAAAAGCGTAGCGCCTTTTCCTTTTGTGCTACACACCCACCATTTAGATGGACCACTATCACCACCAACAGGGGTTGTTTCTGCAAAATCTTTGCCGGCTTTCAGATTTTGCCAAACATCAAATATTCTTAAATATATATCTTAAGATGACATTAACAACTGAGATTTGAATCCATAAACCTGTCAATTTTTTCTGTATTCCAGAGATTAAATATATATATAGCTATCAAGTATGAATCACATTTTTGTAGCTATAATCCACAGGTATCTAAGAAAAATTAAGTACCAAGCTACCATTTTTAGAAACTCAATGTCAATACATCATTTACAGATGGCAGTGATTGGTCATTCTAAAATATTAGTCAGCTATGCCAAATCACTACTGCCATTATGTTTGGGGGGAAAACACCAGCCCAGAAGGTTTTTCTCCTGACCTACAGATTGAACACTATCTTGAAATACCATTAAACAGGGGCAAGTCACACAATAAAAGTTATTGTCCTCATTTTCCTCTCACAGTTTATATACTAGTTAAACTCCACTGACTTCAGTAGAATTACTTCTCATTAATACCATTCTTTGTGGGAGGGGATTTAATTTTAAAATACAATATTTAATTTTTAAATGATTTAATTTTACCATTTCACTTCAATGCAAGTTCAAAAGAGGTCCCAAGACATGAGGAGTTGGGAGAACGGCAGATTCTTCTTTATCGTCTAGTGGGCATTTCTACAAGAGGGACTTTGTGGTGTGGTACACAGAACTGAAATATTCGATACCCAGTTCATATATTCCCATCTGACAGTCCTTTGGCATAGTGAGGCAAGGAGAAGTTTGCAGTAATTTCACAGGTTTGCGACTTTCAAATAAAGTTCAGAAGCTGTAGACAAACCTGGGTTGTGTTCTTTTGTATCAAACATGTTTTTAGTGTTCTTTGAAAGAAAGGAATTAACTCGTCTATTTACATAAAGTTGTTGGTCCTAATTATACTGGGAATCTTTGCAAATATTACCAAGAGTTCATGTTTCCAGTAACACTACGGGTCAGAAGAAAAAACAAACAAACAAACGAACAAAACAAAACAAAACCAAGAATTGAATGCTACAAAGGAAAACCAGAAAGGAAAGAAACAAGGAATTTAAGTTGTTTGGTTGCAGGATGGGAGAGACAGGTGAAGAACTATGCTCCTGTGGATTATAACTTCAGAATGTTACAAGCATAAACCACAACCTACCTGTGCTGTGCTCTCAGTTGGTCTCTTATTTGTTGAAGCATCAGTTGGTGGTCTGTTTGTCTGGCTCTCTGGGGGGGTCAAGAAATTGTTCATTTGCAATATCTAATCAGTGTCACACATACAATGATAAAAAATACACTTGGTGGAAATGTTAATGATTCAAAATTAAAAGCTTTATACCCAGCAACTCTGAATTACTGACTTAAACTAGTCCACAGTAATTATGCTCTACCCTGTAACAGCATTTTTCAGATGTAGCTCTCAAAGTGCTTTACAAAATGTAGATGGGATGGCAGATATAAAATCATAGGTACTTTCCAGTCCATTAATAATGCTACACATTTTCTTTCTCAGAGGTCTCAGTGTTCTAAATGTATATTTGGAATACCTCATTAGCAATCTCCACGACAAAAATCCCCCAAATCCTTCTTTATTCTGTATTTACACAGACAGACAAAGTAAAAAATAAAGATATGTATTCACATTTTTTAGTGCAAACTGACTCTGAACACAGATACAATGACTATGCACAGAAACGTTTAGTTTGAAAGGACTGCTCTCTGAACAGACACTGCATCTTTACTAGGGAGATCCTGGAGGCTTCATTTTATACATGTTAAAGGGGTTGGGGAATATATTCCTGACACACAATGCAAACTCTCAGTGGTCCTTGCTCGTTAGAGTGGGAAAACTCCTACTCCGAAGTGCTAAGCAAAGCAAGATTACAGTTAGTTATGGGTTCTGATCTAAAAGTTGAATACGGTATAAACAAGTGTCAGCTTGATGAGTAAAGCAGTTTGAATGTGTAATTTCAGACAAAAAGGTGAAATAAAACCAGTTCTGGTGCCAAGCTCTGCTTGCATTTACCTTACCATGCAATGGTATAATTTTTTTATAGTTGATTTTAGCTATTAAATAGATGGCTATATCAAGTACCTATATGGGGAGCAAATATTTGATAATGAGCTTTTCAGTCAAGCAGACAAAGGTATAACAAGATCCAATCAATGGCTGGAAGCTGAAACTAGACAAATTCAGACTGGAAATATGGCATACATTTTTAACAGGGAGGGCAGTTAAGTATTGGAACAAATCACCAAGGGTTGTGGTAGATTCTTCATCCCTGGCAATTTTTAAATTAAGATTGGATGCTTTGCTAAATGACATGTTCTAGTTCAAACGGGAATTATTCTGGGGAAGTTGTATGGCCTGTGTTATACAGGAGGGTTCATACATGATCACAGTAGTCCCCTTCTGGCCTTAGAATCTATGAATATGCAGTACTGCTTCTCTGTCACTGGGATACCCATTCAGCCTGAAACACTGAGGACTAGTCCCAAAAATACTCAAGACTGCTCCACCTGACATATGGCAACTGAATCTAGAAATGCAGAGAAGCAGCAGCAGCAGCACCAAATGGCTGAAGATGGTAGGAAAGCACTTCAATTGCTTACCGTAGTATCATTTTTAAACATTCATTGCGCTTGAAGGCTCTGCTTTAACAAAATTGATACATTTTGCTTTGACACTAGTTTAGCATTCATTTGTTCACTTTGCTTATTTGGTTTTTTATGTTTATTCTGCTCTATTGTGAAATGTGTGCAACAATATTGTAATGCCACCGGTATAGTATTTACTTTCCTTGTAATGTGCCTTTACTCTGTAAAGCAGTATTTCTTAAACTGGGGATCCCAACCCAAAAGGGAATCGCAAGGCTATTGTATGGGGTCACAAAGATCCCAAAAAAATACTGCCAAGGGGTGGGGCAGCAGGAGCGGGAGGAGAGTACAGCAGCTGCTACTCTCCAGCCACCCAGGTCTAAAGGCAGCGCTGCCGCCAGCAGCAGTGCAGAAGTAAGGATGGCAATACCATAAGTATGCTCCTATGAGCGTGTACTGTAATTGCTATCACTTTTGGGGGATAGCAATCACAGCCTGAAATATTTTCAAATGGAAAGCCCAGAAAAAAAAGTTTGAGAATCCCTGCGGTAATGCAGTAATTTTGGAAGGCTGCATTAAAAATAAATACATAACTAATAGTAGACTGGGAGTTTCTGGCATCAAGTGGTTTAAACCCAATTCTAAACAAAGAAAACTTTAGCAGGCAAAAGTGCTTGTGTCATTTATTGTTAGAAGAAATTCAGAAATGTCCAACAGAAACCTAAAAATTGGACACTTTTTTGGTCTAAGCAGTTTTGACAGGTTTTAGTCTAGAGGAGTTGTCTCAGTAAACCATTCTTAGCAAATAAAATTCCTATATGAATAAACTCCACTTCTAGCCTGTTAAAAAGCTTCATGTTCCCCTTGCACATCTATTCTCTCTTCCACTCCCAAAATTAATTTTCAAGCATAGCTTACCAACTCGAGGTGCTGTGACGGTGCTTGGTTCGGTGGGAGCTGGACTGCTGAATGCAGAGAGTGGGATCTTCATCTGTATGGGACCCCGATTGCTGGTAGGATTATACAGTCCTGAAGTAGCCACTGTGGTCAAAGTAGTCCTTGTGGCTGGGGCAACAGGATGTGCTGTAGAAACAGCCTGTACTGCCAGTGTTGTCCCTATTGACCCAGCACTGGCCGGAGAGTTCCTCTGAATACCAGGGCTGGACACAGAAGGGCTGTTATTTGGTTTAGCTGGGTTAGTAGACGCCAGAGACACTGGAGTTTTGGCAAGGCTACCAACAGTAGAAGGGCTTTGTACTGATATAAATTCAACATTGCCTGACTGCTGGTTGGTGACCAAAGTCCCTGTGTGGCCTTGCAGGAGCTGAGGCTGGGAGGATACTGCAACTGGAACATGCAAAATTACTGGCAAAGACTGTAGTGAGACAGACATGGGCTGAGTGTTGCTACTGGGCATCTGTGTGGTGCCAACTACTGTAGCTGTGTTGGCTGTAGGGAGAACTGATGTTGTCAAGGAGCTGGAAGTCACAGGAGTCTGAGGTTTGGGATGTCCACTGACCACTGTCTGAGGAGCAGCAAGACTTGGAGTAGACACTACAGAAAGGACAAAAATATTTCTAAGTTTATGTACCAAATGAGCAATTTCACATCAATACAACAGCATAAAAATGGGAAAACACAATATTAGATTAATAATTTCACCAGGGGAGCCAGACAGTATGTAACTTTTAAAAAAATATTATTTATATTTTATATTACAATCATGCCCAAAGCTCCAATCAGTATATGATCCCCATTGTGTTAGGTGCTGTACAAATATATAGGAAGATATAACCTCTACCCTGAAGAAATAAATAGATGGCATTTTTTAGTGTCAAAATTATACACATACATGATTGATGCAGGGAAGTGTTATAATCTTGAACTCATATTTTCAAGAAAGTGTTAGTAGGCAAGTTTTATCCATCACTTAAAACACTGCAAAGATAAAATGCAGTAAGAATTGTAAAAACTCAGTTTATGGAAACAATACTACAACCTGTTATTGAGAAATTACAAAGGCACAATTATAAGAGACCAAGGCCCCAGTTCTATAACTTGCTATGCACAGGCAGACCCCTGCAGATATATACAGTCCCCCTGAGGTCAAAGGGGATGACATCTGACTACGTGCAACAAAACTGCTGGATCAGGGCCAAAGTTAGGCAACTGCCTATATAGTAAGTATGTAGTTAATCTGGGCAACACTTGTTAGTAGAAAATGATTCTGTAGAAAAAAGACTTGATGTTCACAATTTTCAGGAATGCAGTCTTTGTTTCAACAAAGTGTCAAATGTAAAGTGCATTTTTGAAGACAGGCGAAACTTCTTACCTGCATTCATGGGGGGTTGAAAAGGTGTTGATGTACTCTCTCCTATGTTTCTCTTGGACTCCAGCATCTGTCTCACTGTGCTGGCATTTCTATGGAATAAAGGTTTATGTTAGCATCTCCCAGTGAGTGCTTCTGAGGTGTACCAACAAGCAGTACAGGAGTCTAGAGAAAGCAGTAGTTTTAAAAAAAATTATCTAAACTATTTGTACTTATGTCATTTTCAATATCCACCTATTACTAAATACTTTTTTCCTGTAAATTAATCCATGATGTCATCTCTACTACAGTACTGCCAACTTCATTCAGTACTTTTAATGCACTTGTACACAATCTACCTTTCCCGATAAAAATACCTGTAACATTTTTTTAAAAGGTAATTTTAACTCCTTTTTAAAAATGTATTACTACTAGCTACTCAATATTTGGCACTACCTTAACGAAGTTTACATTTCCTGTAGTAAATATATGATTTTCGTAACATGAAAAGAACAGGCATGCGTTCACAGCTGAACAGCAAAGAAAGAAATGAAAGGGCATTATAAATGGGTAAAATGCAAGAATATTAAACTAGCACAAACTCAGGATATTCACTGAATTATATGCAGCAAAATCTCTTACTGGACTTGTTCTAAGCACAACTCAGTATTCAAATTATAAATTCCTACTCCAGTAAACTTGAAAATGACACACAGCTGCATTCTTAGTCCTCACCTATAGGTTAGGTTGCTGATGCTGCCTGTATCACTCACTGCTTTCCCTGGAGACAGAGGTGGGTTTGGAGGATTCTACAAAGAAATAAATCAACTTGAAATCTACCGCTTTATATTAAACCCTGTATTTTTTCATTTTTGTCCAACATGCACTTTCTACTGCCATAGACTCAGGACATAAGAACTTGAGATGTTTTAGGAGCTCCAAGAGCTCATTCAATGGAGAATACTGTCCCCTCCTATTTGGCATATCTTAATCCCAGCTTCCAGCTGTTCAGTAGGGGGAAATCAAGGTCTCTTGAACTCATTTGGACTTTTAGTTTCCATCTTTTTCCTTGGTAACTTATTACAAATACATTTTCTGGACTCAAGGAAATAGTTCTTCCCTGTTTACTCTTAATTTCTTTAAATTTTCCCCCAAAACGTGACGAGAAAGGAGATATTCGTCTGGATCTACTCACTTGCTTTCCCCACCAAAGCCCTGTATCATGGCCATCTATCTGTCTTGCGGAGGAAGGTGGGCATGGCTCCCTCCAGAGTCCTTCAAACTCTGTTCCAAGGTTAAAGAGGAAGGCTGGATCCAGAGCCTCTGAAGGCGAGCCTGTCCTACGATCTGAGAGAACTGCATCTAATTTCTTAATTTTTATGTATGAACTTCAAACTTGATTCTCATTTACAACAAGGTCCCTTTACACTGTTCTAAATTACACTTAGGACTTGTCTATGCAGTGTGGCAATGCACACTAGAGGGTTGTGAATTTTAAAGTACACCACTATGTTGCGCACTAACTGTCCTACATAGATACTGCTGCTAGTGGATACTAAAAGTTCCTTTGTGCATGCTAAACTCTTTATAATTTAAACCCCTCTAGTGCACATTGCCACACCCTATAGACCAGCTCTTACACTCATTTCAATGCACCTTTATGCTGTTAGAGTGTGTAAAGAGGCCTTAATGAAAATTGGAATAAAGTCCTTGAACTTTAATGAAAAGATGGAAACACTAGGCTTATTGAAAAGGAGTACTTGTAGCACCTTAGAGACTAACCAATTTATTTGAGCATAAGCTTTTGTGAGCTACAGCTCACTTCATCGGATGCATTCAGTGGAGGAGATTTATATACACAAAGAACATGAAAAAATGGGTATTATCATACACACTATAAGGAGAGTGATCACTTAGATGAGGTTTCTCTCCCCCCCCGCTGGTAGTAGCTCATCTTAAGTGATCATTCTCCTTGCAGCATGTATGAAAATACCCATTGTTTCATGTTCTGTGTGTATATAAATCTCCTCACTGTATTTTCCACTGAATGCATCTGATGAAGTGAGCTGTAGCTCACGAAAGCTTATGCTCAAATAAACTGGTTAGTCTCTAAGGTGCCACAAGTACTCCTTTTCTTTTTGCGAATACAGACTAACACGGCTGCTACTCTGAAACTAGGCTTATTGTAGTCTCTAACATTACCACCTGCTAACCAACTCTTCTGAAATTATTTGTCTCATACCGAGCATCAGACCAAACTAACTAAGGCAACACCCGCTTGCACTTTCTGCATTTAGCAGAGGGTAGACATTTTCTCCATAACAGGGGAAACTGTTTAACTGTATTTCTACTGCGTTCTTTTCATACTGAAAGGTGTATTTCCACAGGTTATTACTCAGACTAGTTTTGAGCAAAAACTAACAAAGAATCTACAATTTTAGTCCTTACTTCCTGTTTTTTCTTCAGGTCCTCTTTGGCTGCTCCAAAACGTTTCGTCAATCTAGCAATTTTAGCCTGGGGGGGAGGGGAAGGAATAGGAACAGGACACACACACAAAAATTAGACCAATTGAAGATACACATTGAGATAAGTTAAATGCAATTTTAGACAAAATAGTCTTTCCCATGAAACGTGGTACAACCTGCAACTAATACTCTACAGCAAGGGAAGCAAGTGTGTGTGAGAGAGAATGTGAGTTCAAGAGAGGGAGGGAGTCTCAAACTTTTTAAAGAGATAGTCTGGACCATCTTCTGTCTAGAAATTACACATGCCACCCTCCCTTCCCAGTGGTGATCAGGCAACATCCCTGCAGCAACTACTTACCTGGAAAAGTAACATTAAGAAAATATTTATAACTATTTTAATGTCTCATGGATTATCATTTGGGAAAAAATTAATCATACTCTCTCTTTCTGCTCTTCACTTCATCTCCTTTTCCTATCTATTCTGCCCTCTCTCACTTATCCTCTAGCTGAGTTTCTTTGGCACCTGATCCTTTTTCCCCCCTGCATATACTGTCCAGATGCCAGGTTCTTTTATCTTCTGGAATACTTTCGAGACATCTCTTATTCCTACTCTGGACATACTGCCTAGAACCCATTCCCTTTGCTTTTCTTCATTCATTGATAGATCCTGATCCTCTCCAGATGGTAGTTTCCATAACTGGCTACTTCTGGTGGCACCAGTAATGCTCCTCTCTTCCTACAAAGCAGTAGACCTTTGTATAGGCAGCTGGACTGCCTCCTCCTCATTTCCAGTTTATTTTAGAGACACCCGGGCTCTTCTTTGCAATGAAACAGCTGTAAGAAGAACTGGAAGCAAGGAGCCATCCCCATAAGACCTGCTGGTTCTCCATAGACAGTGAGCTTCACAGACAATGATTTGGGAAACTCTGATCTAAAAAACCTGGCTCACTCAAACTCCCCACCTTTTACCTACTTTTACAAGGTGACAAGAAAGGCTGCAATCTGTATGACATATATTAATTATATGTGCTGTAGAAGCACCTAAGGGCCTCAATCATGGATTAGATTTCTATTGTGCTAGGCTTTTTACAAACACACAAAGAGATTGTCCTTGCCCTTATGAACTTAAAATGTAAGTATGGTAACATCAAAAAAAATTCACAGGTCACATGCATTTTCAATTTATTTGACAGCTATACTACATAGGTTGGTGCCTCAATACTGTGATGATGGGTGTACTGAAAATGCCCTAGGTACCATAGATCGATCAGTCTGTGCAAGGCTCATGTCAAGCGCTCTAATGAACATGTGTTCGGTAGCCTCAAGTTTGGAAAATTCCACACTTTCTGCAAGAAGACTGGGGCAGCTCAAAAAAAAATGAGCACAGCAACACCACACCTTTGTTTAATACAGGAAGCATTCATATCCCTATCACAGTAGAATTCTTCAGTCTGCCTGGGAACCGGACATGAACTAGTGTCTACTGGTGTTTCTTCATTTAAATATTCTTCCAACAGCAGCCTTCCTTCTCCCCCCCTCCCCCCTTTTTAAAATAGGTTCATTTCTACTCTAAGCGACCACAAATGATACATATTTCCATGCAGGTTGTTTATTTGAAGAATATCTAAAAAAGTGGCAGAGCAGAGTAGAAAAGTGATTTACTAATGGCTAAATCATTAACTTATCAAAAGGACGGGTTTATTTTCTTCATAGTGAATTGCTTGCTCCTACCATCTGACCAGTGACTTGCTTCCAGGAGTATTCCACTTTCTCCGACAGCAAAAATAATGGATTGTTGTTTTTTGTTTAAGGAATCAATTGACTTCCATTAGTAGCAGCAAGATGGGGTCTATTGCTAGAGAGAAGCTAGTTTTTAAACAACGCCATACTGTGCCATGTAAAACACATAAGTACCTGTAGTTCAGTAAGCACAGTTTTATGCCTCTTGCTACATTCTATCTTCTCTACTCGTGTTTTCAGATCTGCCAAAGTCTTGTCAAATACAGCACACTGCAGGGCACTGAGTTTCTCCTCTAACAACCTCTGGACGACCTAGAAAAATATGCAAACATATTACCAGTACTTGGGAGGGTGCCAATGTTTTTATGCACAGCACACATTCAGCATCTTGTCACATACAAAGACTGATGTTGTCATTCTGTCGATCAAATAACCATCTGATCATCAGTACCATGATATTTAAGTATTTTTGTAGATGCAGAGTTAGAAAAAAGAATTCCTCATCTTGAGTTTTAATAGATGTAGATGGACTCTCTGCCAGTCGCTGAACAAATCCATTTCTCTATGGTATGATAAATATGTATAATCCTACCAAAGCAGTTTTTATAAGATCCTTAACAATGGTGTGAAAGGCACTGTGGTAAAGTTTTGTGTAAATGGACTTTTCCCTGACCGTATTTCTGTCACCATAGATGCCGACATTTTAAAACCGGAATTCAAGAAATTCAGTGGAAGGAACATGCCTAACACATTTCTTCCAGACACAGTTTTCCCTCCAACACAACTGCCCCATGCTCCCATCTGTGGAAAGAGAAGTTGTACAGTAACTAAAGTGAGATGTGTGGCCCTTATCTGTATTTCATTGTGTGTGCACATGGACCCATGCACATGAAACTGGAAAATTTTTGCAAGCAGTGTCCATTGGTCCATGCCTGCACCCTTCTCCACATACTCCAAACTGAGGGCATAAGGGGTAGACTGACCACCTCTCCAATTTCTTCTCTATCACGAATCACACATAAAGATCTGAAACAGAGGGGAAGGAGTGGAATACAGATAGTGCCCACATCTCAAAAAACGCCAGTTACTGTACCAGGTAAGTAATTCATCTTTCTTCTTTGAGTGTATTCCTCTTCAAGTGTATACACTATGTTTATTCCATGGTAGGTGACTGACTAGCAATATTCATTAAGGAGGAGGAGGGTGCAAGGACCTCTGTGGTGTCTATGACTGGAGGACTGCTGTGTTGAAAGCTGCGTTGGGTGAATAAACTAGTACGAGAGCGTACTGATTCAGGAAGCTATGGAGTGAGCCCCATTTTGCTGCTGTGGCAAATTGACGGCACTACTTTGATAGGTTTCGCGTTCTCTCTTCTTGGGGAGGGTTCAGGGCACCGTTTCTCACCCCTGAACTGGGGTATTAACTGCCCCACTAGTGTCCTAGAGGAGGGGAGAGGAAAGGGACCCAGGCCCACCCTCTACTCTGGGTCCTAGCCCAGGGGCCCTAGAGATAGCAGTAAACCGCTTGAACTAGCGGTTCCTTCCCCTGTGCTACTTCCCTCGCCTGCCCTTCAACTTGTGGGACTTCCTGCCCTCCCTCTGCACAAACCAGGTGTCCCTTTATCTAGGGTCTTGGTCTTCTTAGTCCACCGCAGCACTTCTCCAAACTCTCCTCTGCTTCCCTCCAAACTGCTCTCTGCTCCAACACCAATCCACTCTGCTTCAACTCCTTCTCTTGTCTTATTGAAGCAGGGGGGTTTTATCAGGTGACTGGCTTCAGGTGCTCCAATTAATCTATAGCAAACTTTCTTCCCTCTACAGGGAATAAGGCTCCCTTCTAACACTCTCCTGCTGCCCTCTGGCCGTGCTGTATCACACTGCTTTACATATTTTGAGGAGACGAAAATTCTCAAAGTGAGGGTACCAGTGTGGCCTTGGCCCTACTCGAATGGGCCCTCACCCCTCATGGAGAAGAGGTGTTTCTCAATTTGTGACACAGCAAAATGCAGCTTGAAATCCATTTTTAAGTCTCTGGGAAGAGATAACTTCCCCTCTCATCTGCTCAGCAGAGAATATAAAGAATTTAGGCAGTTTCCTAAAAGACTTTGTTCTTTAGGTAGAATGCCAAAGCTTCACAGACAACCAGACATTTCCTAAAAGACTTTGTTCTTTAGGTAGAATGCCAAAGCTTCATAGACACAGACTATTTTGTCCTCACTAGTGATGTGTAGTTTAGGGAAGAAGACACGTATGTGAACTGTCTGATTCAGATGGAATTCTGAGATTACTATGGGGGTATATTTAGGATGAAGTCTTAGAGAAACTTTGTCCTTATGGAAGACTGTGTATGATAGATCAGCCATAAGGGTGCCCAGTTCACCTATTCTTCTAGTTGAGATGATTGCAACCAGGAAGGCACCCTTCATACATTAGATAGGTGGGACAAAGAGTATGAGGCCAGAGGTTCAAATGGAGGCCTTGTTAGTGCTGAGAGGACCAGACTGAGGTCCTATGACAGAGTGGGCTTCATCACAGAAGTTGGAGGATGACAAGAGTTAATAGCTGCTAAGCGTACCTGCAGGAAGCTAAGGAAAAGACCTGATGTCTCTAAGGAAAGAAGATACTTAATCCCAAAGAACTCTGACATCCCCACCATCCCCTGGTGATGCTGAGACCAGATGGAGAATCTTTTCCATTTGACTGTGTAGCACTCTCTCATGCACTCCTTCCTATTATTGTTAAGGATAGCCTGCACTACTTCCGAACATGTCCTTTCTAGGTTCAATACCCATCCAAATAGATGGTGTGGGGCTGTCAGGTGGAGGGAAGATGGATTGGGATTCTTGACCTTGCCTCTATCCTGGGTCAACAGGTCTGGGAAAGACTGGATATTGATATATGGGCATTCTGACACCTGAAGAATGCTGGAGACCCCAAACTGTCTAGGCCATCTGGGAGCAATCACGATGCTTACCACTCTGTCTTGCTTGATCTTCCTCAGAACTGAAGGTAAAAAGGGAATGGGCATATCAGCTATCCTGACGAAGGAAATAAAAGCGCATCTCTTCTGGACCCCTGTGTAGATTGTGTATTTTCTGTTCTCTTAAGATGCAGAGATCCCAAGACAGAGACTTAGATTGACAAAATATGCACTGTACCACAGAATGGTATAGCTCCCATTTGTGGTCTTTCGGAAATGTCTGCTGAGGCTGCCAGGGAGTTATGTATCCCGATGAGCTGCACTGCCGGCAGAGTGATCTGGTGATGAATACACCAGTTCCAAAGATTGACAGCTTCTATACACTGGGAGGTTGTTGATGTAGAACACTGTTGTCATGTTGTTAGACATCAGTAGAACATGCAGGGTTCATACGAATCTCTTACAGGTCTCCCAAACTGCACGCTATTTTAGGAGGCTCCTGTGCATTCTAAACTCTGGGGGAGTCAACATCCCTTACACTGTATAGAATTCTAGACAGATGCCCCACCCTAACAATGACACCCCCATGATTAAAGTCTTCGTGGGGGGGGGGGCGAGGAAGAATGAAGAGGCCACCCTCCTTTATGGATTGGAACCTGTCCTGTGGAAGGTATGGTTTGGCACTGAGTCCAGTGTTGCTACGATGAACTCTACAGGCTGCATGGGAACTAAAATGGACTATTCTGTGTTTACATAGATTCCCAACGAACATAGAAGATTGACAGGCATGAGGTTGCTGTCCATACCTCCTGATGAGATTTTGTCATCAGTAACCAGTCGCTGAGGTAGAAGAAAACTGATGATTTATGGCACCAGGAGTGAGCTGCCACAACTTACTGTACCTTTGTAGATACCCTTAGCACTGCTGCAGGCTTGAAGGGGGGCACCCCTGTACTGACAGTGGTTCAGACCAACTGCGAAACCTCAAGGGTCTTCTGTGTGAGGGGTGGATGTAGGCAACTTTTGTAACACAAGCTGCAAACCAGTCATATTTGTTCTGAGAAAGTGTTCATTATTGAAACCAGGGCGACCATGCTGAACCTCAATCCACAGATGAAGATACTGAGTTGTTTGAAATCTAAAATGGGCCTTCATGCTTGAAAAATTTTTTTCAAGTAAAAACCCTTTCCCCAGTTTTGAGGGGGCACCAGTTTTATGGTTCCTTGATGAAGGATGGAATTTAGTTCTTGAAACAACAACCAAGAGTGAGAGAGGTTCCTGAAGGAGGGAAGGGAAGGGGGTTTTGGTGGTGGAAGGGAAAGAAACTCTGTTGTAGCTGGTATGAATGATGTTGAGGACCCATTTGCCTCTTGTTCTCTGCCAAACTTGGGAAAAACGAGCTAGATGGCCACTACATTGGGCAGAAGAACATGATATCTGGAGTAATTTGCTGCTTTTGAAGATCCCATCAAAAATGTTTCTTAGTGGGAGGTTGGGGTTGGTAGACAGAAGAACTTTGTGCTTGCTCCGCTGCACCCTCTGTTTCTTGGTGGTTCATAGCCTCTCTGATGATAAAAAGGGTGAGATGCCAGTTGTTGCCTATACAGTTGCTGCCTGTGGAATTTCCTCCTTGGCACTGGAGTGTAGATCCCCCGTAAGGGGGGGGAGGGGGTGCCCTTGAGCTCCTCAACGAGTGCAATGAATCATCTGTCTTCTCACTGAACAGGTTGTTCCCTGTAGGGCAAATCCTCTACTTTCCTGGGAAACCCAGAGGACTGAAGACATGGTGACTACTGTTGCCATGCATAAAGCATCATCAATAAGGAGGCTGTGTCTGCTACATTGACTAAAGCTTAGTGGGCTCAACTGGCAATCAATTTGCTTTCTTTCATGAGTGCATGGAACTGTATTCTATCCTTTTGTGAGAGCTTATTAGTGAATTCCACCAACTTGGAATAATTGGCACAATCATATTTTGACATTTTACAGAACTGCAAGCTGACTAAAGCGTAAACAAACAAACAAAAAAAAGCTTTCTTTTCTAACAGGTCCAAATGTTTAGCTGCATTATCAGAGGTGGAGGATTTTGGTTGATGTTACCTGCTTCTTTCAGTGACTGTTTGGACCACTAAGGAGTTCAGGGCAAGCTGTGTAAATAAAAATTGCTCCCTTGGCTGGTACAAAGTACATCCTTTCTGTCCTTTTTGGAGTGGAAAGAGAGCATGTGTCTGGGGCATGCCAGACCACGTTGGTGTGTTTTAAGATGGCTTCATTAATGGGGAGTACCACATTGCCAGGCCATGTACTTTGTAGAATGTTGAGGAGTTTGTGAGATGTCTCTTGCACTTCCTCCACAGGGATTTGGAATGTGTCAGAGACCCTACTTAATAGGTAGGGCCCTACCAAATTCATGGTCCATTTTGGTCAATTTCACGGTCATAGGATTTTAAAAATCGTAAATTTAAAACTGAAATTTCACTGTGATGTAATTGTAGGGGTCCTGATTCCAAAAGGAGTTGTGGGGGGTTGCAAGGTCATTGTAGGGGGGGTTGTGGTACTGTTACTCTTACTTCTGCACTGCTGATGGCAGCGGCATTGCCTTCAGAGCTGGACAGCTGGAGAGCAGCAGCTGCTCACCAGGAGCCCAGCTCTAAAGGCAGAGCCGCCATCAGCAGCAGCACAGAAGGAAGGATGGCATGGCATGGTATGGTATGACCACCCTTACTTCTCCGCTGCTGCCTACAGAGCTAGGCCCTCAGTCAGCAGCTGCCACTCTCTGGTTGCCCAGCTCTGAAGGCAGCAGCACAGAAGAAAGGATGGCATGGTACCGTATTGCCACCCTTACTTCTGCGCTGCTGTTGGCGGGGCGCTGCCTTCAGAGCTGGGTGGCCGGCAAACAGACGCTGCTCTCCATCTGCCCAACTCTGAAGGCAGCAGAGAATTAAGGGTGTCAATACTGCAAAGCCCCTAAAATAGCCTTGTGACCCCTCTTGCAACTCCCTTTTGGATCAGGACCCCCAATATAAGAAATGCTAATCTTCCCTGTGAAATCTGTATAGTGTAGGGTAAAAGCATGCAAAAGACCAGATTCCACAGGGGGAGACCAGATTTCATGGTCTGTGATGCATTTTTCATGACCATGAATTTGGTAGGGCACTATTAATAGGTCTAGGAAATGCCTCTAATCATCAGGGGATGATGGTGACAGTCTCCTCAGAGCTGTCTGTTCTGGATCTTCCTTCTTCTCCATTAGTTTCTGAAGGGTTCCAGTTCCTCTCTGTAAGGAGAGGGATGTCATGATTCCTGATGTAATAATACCAATTCACAATAGCACATGTATAGGTCCCATGGTCGTAATAAGAGCGGTACAATGATGATTGAGACCCAAAGACATAGTGTGCCCATGTTGGTCCCAAGTTGGGTACACTAACTTAACAATATAAAGGAGCCCAGGAGATTTTGGATCCTCTGTCTGGGCTAATCTCCCACTTTGGTGGGGGGGTGATGATGCTCACTCACTCAGGCTCCATTCATCTGAAGAGGAAAAGGTAGTTTCAATTCCATGCATGGTACTGTGGCTCTTGTGATGCCACAGCTGGTGGAAGGTACCAGAAAACTACTCCCTCTTTCATGCCATCCCTGCACTGGTGGCATTAGGGTCTCTCTTGTGAGGATTAGACCTGAGTGTATTGGGGACTCCAAGACTGATGACTATATCCTCAGGGTTAATATCTCTCCCCCCGGATGTGGAGAGCTGTGGAGGACTCCCGTCCTGCATAGGTGGAGTCTTTCTGGTCAGAGTCTTTGGTGCCAGTCAATCAGTCTTTGGAGTGCAACAGTTCCCCTGGTAGGAGGCACTTGGTGCTTTCTCTTTTGTTGGTACCACAGATGGTACTGCTCCTGCAAATGATGCTGGTCTTGGACCACTCTTGCTCTTCAGAGACGGGAGGTTGTGTCCCTTATGTGCTCCTGAGCCTCCTGAACCAGGATATGAAGTCTCACTTGACTTAGATAATTTCAGGGAAGAGGTCATCTTCTTGGAAGTAGACCTGGAGGGGGATTTCTCTCATTTCTTATGAAGATGTTTGCTATCCTCCTGATGTTACTCAGTGGAGAAGTCTTCAGTTCTACTTCTATCAGTCCTGGAACTGGAGGTCACCATGCTTGGAGGCATGCTCCTCGGTGCCCCTGCCAACTGTTTAGGGGACTGTTCAGCCTGGAGCCCTGCAGTGGAATCCATAAGAAATTTTCCAAGCATATACTCGCAGGCTTGGCAAGTTCTGCTGGGGAAGGATCAGCATATGCTGTACTTTGAGGAAATATAAGATTGCCCAAAGCAGCAGAGGAACTTTAGGTAAACAGTAAGTTCTATGATGTGGAACTGCAACAACCCTGCCCCCTCCCTCCATTATGCAGCAGCAGCAGGATTTAATCCCCAAATCTTCAGCACAGGCTTTTAATACTTAAGCTAAAAGACCAACCTACATGAGCTAATACCACCAGGCAGCCACTATCCTCAGTGGACCAGCCATGAGAGAGGATGAAGCATAACACACTATAACAGTGGTTTATATATGCAGAAGTAGACCCATTTTTCAGACAACACAGACAAGCACAAACATCTGGCAGACTCAGTGGCAGTGTGACACTGTAGCTGAAACTTAGCTTTGCCATAATAGAAATTTATGTTCTATTCCCAGTTTAAGTAACCTGGGAGGTCTTGATCAATAATAAGGACTGTGAAGGGCACAGAATTATTAAAGCTAGCTGGAAAACACAGCGAGTCTAGAATTCATGATCTCCTGATTCCCAATACAGTATATCTTCCCTTGCAATTTAGGTCATGACCTCCCATAAGTGAAATATGATCATTTACTATTACACTAAAATAAAGGATTCCTCCTGCACAAGAGTTTCTTTTCTCATTCATCCAAGTATTTTGGATGTCCACAAAACATCTAATAATAAAAGCAGGAGTTTATGCAATTTAAAATGAAAATACAGTCAGTGGACTGATTTTTGTGATTTGCAGGTTAATATGGAAATTATGTCCAAAGAAAAGAGACGTTAGAACTCAAAGTGAAAGATCTACAATAGAAGAGCTGTGGGTTCCATCTAAAAACATTTCTGACACCTCCATTCTGCAGCAAGATCTAGTATACCTTTTGCAGCTTCTGGTTAATATCCCCTCTGGCTGTAATTTTTACTTGGAGTTCTGCTTCATACTCTTCTCCCATGTACCGACGACGTTTAGAATGTACATTGTCCATATCCTCTGATTTGGAACGCTTCCTTCTTGACACTTCACCTGGAAGCACATGGCACAGGGACTGCTGAGGAATCTTTTAACAGCAGCAGCAACCAAAGGAATCCTACAGCTATCAGTAGCTTCCTTTCTTTCAAGTCCAGTCACTCATTCAAAGGATGACAATCTTGGGGAAAATCTCAGATATTAAATTTATCTTTTTTCATAAACCAGAAACCCTCTACACTGTGGACTTCAATATGGAACTTTGATTCAATGCACCAAAGAACCACCACCACCCATTTAACCTATCGCACTTTAAAGAGACATACTGTGTAAATTTAAATGAGGTAATGAAAATGTGCATGGCCATCTCGGGCACACAAAGCCTGCCAAACTGCTGCCCCAAAATGCATGACAATTCTAGTGACATTCTTTCCTTCTCACTTACCTTCTTTAAAATGGGCCTTCCCTCACCTTTGTACCCGATAGAGATATACAGGGCAGTAATTCCCTGTACTGAGAGATGGGGCGGGGCAGGATTCCCCAGCCAGCCCCTCTCCCTCTCCCGGCACAGCATGCTATAGAGACCTAGGTATATATACCATAGCCTGACTAAGCTTCAATGAATGGAGACTATTGTAAGCATAAACACAGAGAGAAAAAGGGAGCTTGGTACAAAAGGAGAAAACTGGGAGTAAGGGGGTAAAATTAAACAAATTAAAAATTAAGTTTAATATTGGTTTAGAGAGATGGACTTGTCTACCTGACAGTTCTATTCCATCTCTACTTTATTGCATACATGCTATGAGCTCTAACTCAAATCTTGCAGATATCTGTACATTCATGGTTTTCAACTACTGTACAGCTAACTTTTTAAATTTTTTAAAATTTGCATTACCACCTAAACTACTTACCTATGTTTAGAAAAGTTTGATTCTTTTAATTTAAAATACTATTATAGTGCAAGTATCTACAGAATAAAGAGTATTTTTAAAGGAGATATTGATTACTGGAGAGTGTCAACTTTCAAATTTTCTCCCTGTGAATTTTCAGTCATGCTAAAGTTCCATCTCTGAGGTGCCCATCAGAAAGTATCTGCAAGTTTGGTAGAAATCTAACTCAAAAGAAAACCTCTGAGTGGAATGAGCACTGTCCCTGGACTATCATAGACAGTAGTTTACTAGGAACATTCATGCGGTTAACAGTACTTCAATAGCATGCATGCACTTCAACCTGCAACTTTTAAAAATATATTATGTAAAAATTTCTCAATTAGATAACACATCTGTCTCAAATTAAAGTACTGAAACAAAGGCTGAACCTGAGAACTTAATTCTAGAGCAACACTACACTGATATTCTTTCATTCTTCCTGTCAATAAGACCGAACACCTCTACTGTACATACTTCTCTCTGGATGTCTGTCTTCTTCTTTGTGCTCTTCCTTTTCTCTCTCTTTATCCTGTTCCTTCCTTTCTTTTTCCTCCTCTTCCACCTCTTCTGCAAACACAAAAGATGACCAAATTTTATTTCTTTACATTCATTAATGAAATAATTTCACAATCTCTTTCCAATCAGTCTTGTTTTGGCTGATGAGCCTTTGGATAACTATGCACACTTGCACAAAGCCATTTGAAAAAGGAAAAGAGGTGTGCATGGGGTGGGGTGTGTGTGTGTCAAAATAACTATAGTACAAAGCAGTAAAAGCCTTTACAAAGTAACTTCTCTGTTTAAACAGCTTGAAAATCACTTGACTTTCTGAAAGTTGTCTTTAAACTACTGAAGAAATAAAAAGTGTTTCAGTTAAAGTGATGTTCAAATGGCTGCCTACCAAATGTCACTTTGCATTTTTCATGTGCATGAAAGAGGTACACAAAAGCTTTAGTTCTTCACTAACAAAGTATTCATATTTTTATATTTCTTTTTGTAAATAAATCTATATTTAGATTTTGTTGGAAGCCATAAGGTGGAGAAGTTTTTTTCCCCACCTTTAATATTCCTAAACTAATAAGAGAAACAAGGTGGTTGAGGTAATATCTTTTATCAGACCAACTTCTATTGTAGAGACAAGCTTTTGAGCTTACGCAGAACTCTTCTTCAGATCTGGGAAATGTAATCAGTGTGAAAATGAAAATATTTTAAAAAAGTGCGGGGCTGGGATTAGCAATTTATAGATTGTTGTAATAAGTCGTAAGTCTCTTTTCAGTCCATGATTTTTAGTGTCTAGCAAAGTTGTGAATTTAAGCTCACAGGCTCATCTTTTGAAGGTGTAGTGAAGGTTTCCTTTGAGGATGAGGGCTGAGGTCAGATATAGAGTGATCACTTTGTGAAAAGTATTCACCCACAGTTCATATAGTGTGTTTGTTTTTTGTCATTTTTTTTTAGAGAGTTTGAGTGCAGAGATTGTTTTGTTTCACCCACATAGTTGTTACTGGGGCATTTTGTGCACTTCTTGCCTCACTGTTCTTAAAGGGGTTAAACTAGATGCTCAGGGTGCTCATAATCTAAGCGGAGCTCTGCAAGAGCATGTGTAAGCAACTGGGGGTGGGGTGTGTCTCAAAATGTCTCAGATACTGTTTTCATGGGTCTAGGACAGCGGCACCACATATCCCAAAAAAGGGACTTGGACAAGAGGTCTGAGCCCAGGAGTCCTTCCTAAAACCCCATAGCTAGAAACAGTGACTGGACTCTATTCAGCTGATCTGGAAGCATGTGGGATCCAGCAATTGGGTCCACTTGCAACAGACTGGTGACAGATGACCAAACAGAGTGGTACTGGGCCACACTGTAGCAGGTTCCATGGAAGAACTACTAAATGATGTGCCTCAGAACACAGCTACCAAATTTTCATCCAAGAAGGTAAGAGAGTCCAGTTTGAAGGCTGGAAAGAACATGCAAGAAGAAGATAGTATAGGTTTCTTTCAAGAAATTAGCCACTCTCTTCAAAAGCGGGTTTAAATACCATCAAGACAAGGATCTCTGGCTACATAATAGACTGTGGTGATACAAGATCTAATCCACGTAGGAACAGTTCATTTTAAAAGTGGTTTATCCTTTTTGGAAAAAGAGTCTTTTCACTTTGTTGTCCTGAACTAATAAATTTTACAGGTACACGTATGCCAAGAGTGTGCCATCTTCTTTCTGTTGGGCCTTTGAGGTTGGGGCAAAAAATGGGAAATCCTTCCAGTTTAAGGTAGTCAGAGACGAATACCTTTGAAAGAAAAGGGAGCTATTCAGAGACATTTTGTTATTTAAAATCAAGCCTGGCTTATTACAGCATGGCCACAGATCATGGCCCCCAGTACACTACTTCAAGGATAAGTCTCCTCTTAGGAAAGCTGAGCACAGTACATTAAAAGGGATAAAAAGACTCTAGGGAGGAGTGATGGATTTCCAAGTTAGCTTCTGAAGAAGCACGGATTTGTGAAATCTGGAGACAAGGAAAGCCTGTCTCAAGGAAACTAGAATAATCCACTAGTCTTTCCCTGAACTGCAGACAACAGGGCAAGACACTTGTGCAATCCTTTCTGGAGGAAATCAAATATGTTAGCCATTGTAGATTTGATTAATCTGATCCATTTATTTTGTACCAGTTTTGACCAGATTCTGTAGTATGGTGAGGAGGCACACCTTGTGGAAGGTTTCCCCATTGATCTCCATTGCTAGCAGCGTCAACTCTCTCTCTCTCTCTGTTCAACAACCATTGATTTAGAGAACATTGTAAGTCTGGATGAAAAATTTAACCCAGGGATAAAAGTTTTAACGTTTTAGGAAGGAATGCCTATCCCAAAAATCATCCATCCATTTCTAAGGTGACTCTCTACTACAATCTAAAAGTACCAAACCAGTGTGGTGTACCAGGCCCTGTAGTTTCAATCTTCTGCCACCAAGATGATCTGAGCATTGTCTTTCCTTGTTTTCCTAACAACCATGAGAATTAGGAAGGTACCAGAGGGAAGGCATAACCATGATGGCTAATTCACATCCACATATATGGCCTCTAAATTAAACAGTTGCAGCACTCTTGCCCAAACTTTCCAATTTGGATGCTTAAAAATTAGGTACCTACTAGGGCTGTCAATCAATCTCAGTTACATCATCCAATTAATTCAAAAAAGTTAACCGCAATTAATCGCAGTTTTAATTGCGCTGTTAAACAAGAGACTACCAATTGAAATTTATTAAATATTTTGGATTTTTTCTACATTTTCATATATATCTTGTATTCTGTGTTGTAATTGAAATCAAAGTGTATATTTTGATTACAAATATTTGCACTGCAAAAATGATAAACAGAAGAAATAGTATTTTTCAATTCACCTCATACAAGTACTGTAGTGCAATCTTTGTCCTGAAAGTGCAATTTACAAATGTAGAGTTTTTGGTGTTACATAACTGCACTCAAAAACAAAACAATGTAAAACTTCAGAGGCTACAAGTCCACTCAGTCCTACTTCTTGTTCAGCCAATCGCTAAGAAAAACAAGTTTGTTTACATTTACAGGAGATAATGTGCCCTCTTCTTATTTACAGTGTCACCAGAAAGTAAGAACAAGCATTTGCATGGCACTTTTGTAGCCAGCATTGCAAGGTATTTACGTGCCAGATATGCTAAACATTCGTATCCCCCTTCATGCTTCAGCCACCATTCCAGAGGACATGCTTTCATGCTGATGACGCTTGTTAAAAAAATAATGCGTTAATTAAATTTGTGACTGAAATCCTTGGGGGAGAACTGTACGTCCCCTGCTCTGTTTTACCCACATTCTGCCATATATTTCATGTTATAGCAGTCTCGGATGATGATCCAGCACGTTAATTTTAAGAACTCTTTCACTGCAGATTTCACAAAACGCAAAGAAGGTACCAATGTGAGATTTCTTAAGATAGTTACAGCACTTGACTCAAGATTTAAGAATCTGAAGTGCCTTCCAAAATCTGAGAGGGACGAGGTAGGGAGCATGCTTTCAGAAGTCTTAAAAGAGCAACACTCTGATGCGGAAACTACAGAACCTGAACCACCAAAAAAGAAAAATCAACTTTCTGCTGGTGGCTTCTGACTCAGATAACGAAAAAGAACATATATCAGTCCGCACTGGTTTGGATGGTTTTCGAGCAGAACCTGTCATCAACATGGATGCATGTCCCCTGGAATGGTGGTTGAAGCATGCACATCTGGCACGTAAATCTCTTGTGACGCTGGCTATAACAGTGCCATGAGAACACCTGCTCTCACTTTCAGGGGACATTGTAAACAAGAAGCAGGCAGCATTATCTCCTGTAAATGTAAATAGACTTGTTTGAGCGATTGGTTGAACAAAAAGTAGGACTGAGTGGACTTGCAAGCTCTAAAATTTTAGATTGTTTTATTTTTGAATGCAGTATTTTTGTACATAATTCTACATTTCTACTTTCATGATAAAGAGATTGCATTACAGTACTTGTATTACGTGAACTGAAAAATACTATTTCTTTTGTCTTTTTACAGTGCAAATACTTGTAATCAAAAATAAATATAAAGTGAGCACTGTACACTTTGTATTCTGTGCTGTAATTGAAATAAATATATTTGAAAATGTAGAAAACATCCAAAAATATTTAAATAAATGGTATTCTATTATTGATTAATTGCTTGACAGGCCTAGTACCTATGTTAATATTTAGCTGCAGGTGTTCAACCCTTTGGAAAATCTGGCCTCTTATTTAGGTGCCTAAATAAGGCATTAGGGTTCTACCTTTAGACTCAAGTTTGGAAAATTCTGGGGGTGTACTAGAGGTGTAGGTGAATTCTAGTATTCATCTGGTATTCCTCAATGGTTGCTCAACATTTACAAGGTTTCTGAATGAAAGGCCAAATTTTCTGTGTGATTGTTTTACCCGCTTAGGTTTTCCACCAGATGTTTGTCCCATACTTCATCCAGTGATATGAAATGGTGTTAGATTCCATGGATGTGTTCTGCCCAGAACTATGCAATAGATGTATCATGTTATGTTATGCTGATTGCGGAGGAGGACTACCCTAATTGAGTTGTCTGATTTGGTCAGAATTACTTCCCCGCCCAGTCCTACACCAAGCTAAGTATTTTATATCAGGCAAGACTCTCCTTACTACTCATATTTCACATATAAAAAAAGAGTAGCTGTGCTCCCAGACTCGACCATACTGTGAACTAAGTAAGAGACAAAGTGAAACCCAAAGCCCATCAAACTGAAATATATTGTGAGGACTATTCCATCTGGATGTGAGAGCTATATGTTCCTCATAAAGATTCCGGTTTTACCCACCAGGTTAGTAAATGTAGAATTGGCTGAGGAAGATTAGGGGCAGATGTTCCAGATTTTCAGGAAGTGGTACTCCTTGATGGAGAAACAGCATTAACCCCTTTGCATGGAGGCCGAGCAGGGGTAACTCCTCTTGTAATGAGCATTTGAGGACTTGCTCTTGAAGATCTCCAAGAAGGGAAGGCATTTGTTACAGCCATCTTAGGTGGTGAATGCAGG